CATACTAAATTTTCATCATGATATTTATATAAAATATTGATATTAGTGATGTCAAGTATTGGCATTGGCTTTGATGATATTAGAGACAAGCTAGAGTGGAAGTGAATGTAATTTCCTTGTGAAGTTCAAAATACTGAACAAAATGTTGCTAATTAATGGACCATTAGCATCAAAGCAAGAGTTTAATTCTATGTTTTTATCATCCAAATAAGAATAGTTTTAGTCTTCATAGTATAAGTTTTCATTAGAAGTCTAATCTATTGCAGCATGCATATTGCCCCTCAACGAAAACATGGCAACTTTGAACTCTATCGGGATGCATGTCAATTCAATTTTTTTTCAATAATTAAAGAAACTGGTAATCAAAGAAAGCACTAATTCAATGTTCAAAAAAAGATTGTATACCTTTTGGAACTAGTGCCTTGTAAAATTTTTTAACATTCTTATAACATCTAAGTCCGTATAATTTTTTGCGAGTTGTTAGATATATTTGTACCTTTCGACGATCTCATTCTTCTAAGATTTAGTGATGTACTTGTAACGTCTAAGATTTAATTAATATTTTGAGATTTTTAGTTTTTGATATGTCTTTTTAGATGTACTTGTATCTCCTTGATTTCTTACCTTCTGAGATTTTTAGAGGCGCTTGTACTATTTTAGACTTATAGCTTACTGAGATTTTTAATGTATATATATCTTTTAAGACTTTTCGCCTTCTAAAATTTTTGAGTGCGGACTTTATTCATTACTTGTTCTTATGGAGTCTTTATAGAAAAAGCATGTCCACATCTAATTTCTCATTGAATCATTCTCATGAGCTTGCCTTCTTAGGATTTAAGTGGAGATATTGTCTATCACTTACCTTTATTGGGTCTTTCTAGTCAGAACCCTATTCACTACTACATTTCCATCGAAGTTTTCTCTTGGACATGCTTCCAGATGTTTTCCTAAAAAAAAGAAGTATTTTTTTACACTAAAAGTTTACTATAAAGATAGCTTTTTTTTAAAAGCATTTTAAAGATTAATATTTTTCTATCTTGAGGCTATTGATGAGCTGATCCTACCAAACGAAGTCAAATAAATTACATGTGATGGTTGTGATAGCAGTCCAATGGATGGGAGGTCTTCCTCTCCGTCACGGTAGCTAGAGACATTTAAAAGAAATGACTTTAAAAGAAATGATGCGCCCATTAACTATCTTTTAAAATATAAAAATTGATTTTCAAGCCTATTTGTTCTTACTTCAGTTTAGGTTTTGATTGTTTTTTACTTGATTTTAGAGATATTAAATCAAAATTAATCTATTTTATTTTGAACTAATTAAAGGAGAAATTCAAAAATATTTGTAGGTTTTAGGTGAAAATATTGATTTTACTTGAATCTTTAGTTTTCTTAATGCAGTTTTACTTAAGCTAGCAGTTATCATAAGTTCTAGTCAAACATTATAATGTTGGTCAACCAAAGTTCATATTTTATCTGATAAAAATTCAATCTTCTTTCAATTAAATTGAAACTAAATCTCCAACAACAAAAACCATCTAAGCTATTGAAATATTTTGTATCATTCAAAATCATATTTTATCAGAATGAGTATTTGGATTACAAATTTTTCTATTTCATATAGTTAAAATGTTCATTTGATGAAATGAATACTCATGTTATTAACATACTTACATAATTAAAAAATATTATATAATTGTTACACCTCTAACAAATCTTCATCATCCGACACAAGGCAAAATATGGATGACGAGTTGTCTATTTGGGTAAGAAATATTCAAACATCAATAAAAAGTCATCCTGAACTCCGATTTCAACAAACTTACAATCAAACTAACCGACTAGACAAGAAGAACCCAATTTTATCAAATTTGGTCCAATCTGAACCAAATCAAACCCAGATCAAGCCATTAAATCGCATTTACATATTTGGAATGTCAAACGAATGTCGATTTTGGCGAGTCTATAATTAAATCGAGCGGCTTGATAAGACAAATTCAACGAGCCCCGGGTCAGTCAATTCGACATCATTAAGGCACTCAAATGTTAATCAAATATAATTCGACGAGGAAAACTTTCTAAGTCGTCTGATTAAAGTGAATCATATTCCTGCATTAATTGCACTCAGAACTTTATAAATAAAGCCTTACCCCTCTCATGAGAGGGGAAGAAGAGCTTGAGGCTTAAGAAAGAATCGACATTCACTTTATGTCATGAAACAATAATAAAAAATACCCCACCTCTCTTTCATGTTCTCAACATCTAACAAAGTGAAAAGCATGACTTCACTAGTCCCCAACTCTCTAGCCACCAATTGATCGTTCTTGACTATTTACAGAAAGGCTCCACTCTGCGTGTTGGTCGAAAAAAAATGAAAAAAAGAACTATATTAACCACCATAAATGATAAAATTAAAATTCATCTTTTGTACTAGTTTTCTCTCAGAAAGGAGACCATTTCACGACAAAAAAAAATGATAAAAATTGGCCACCATGCAGCATGAATAAATGAAAGATCTGTTAGATGACTTCCCCTTTGGCATTGATGCTTTGTCCGACCTTCGTTTAAGACGGAGATTTTCTCAATAACTATTTATTGTTATCTGTGATAACACCTCCAAATTTTCACTACTTTCATCTCTAGGGGCAGCCGGATATAATAATATTTAGCCATCTCCATGATTTTCAATATTTATTGTATCTCTCATTCTAAAGTGAGGGCTATCCTAATTATAATCCTTTAGCACTTCATCTTCTTGTGCTACTTCACAAATCAAGCTCATGTCGCATAAACTCTATGCTCATCTTATACGGCTGCACTCACCATCTTCGGGTCATGTTGTCGCCCAATGCTAATGTCAAAAAAAGAAAAAAAAAAAACAATAGTGGGTAGGCGATGTTAGTCGAGCAATGGCTTCGAGCAATGAGAGCCAAAGACCGAGTTGGGATGATGATGGTCTAGTGACGATGATCGAGCAAAGGCGAACGGGCAATGATAGTCGGCCGATAATTGTCGCTAAAAAGTAATTGTTGGTATCTATCATCAGACTAATCTCTAAAACTTTTTAGATCTTTAAGCTCTCTCTAAATTTTACTTTATTTATATAAAAAATGAAAGTCTATTTATAATTTTTTGAGTGATATTTTGTTTATTTAAGTCAAATCTAAGCATTATATCAAATGACCAATGATGCTCCATTGATCATGAACCGATCATTAGGTATTTATCAAGCTTAGTGATCTCAGAATTTAATAATCTTAGACTCGTTAAATGCCCTTTTATCATTGTGCTCATTTTGGCTGTTAGTTGGTTGAAATTAAGGGTCAGAAGACTCTAAATTTAATTATAGATGCTTCTAAAATCAAATGAATTTTATGATGAATATATGTCAAATATTTCAAAAACACGTTGTTGATTTATCTATTTCCATTGAAAAAATAAAGAAGGGAAATTCTTGTTTCTCAAGTTATTAAATACTCACGTTGAAAAAAAAAATTGAAATAAAATGTTTTAGTTTAATTTATGTTTTAATTTTGATATATTTATAAAAGTATAAAAGCTTTTGGGGGATTTAAGAAGACACCACACATTCTTTTTGTGGTTTCATATTTATATGTCATCACAAAATTTTAATAATTGACATGAACCTCGAGGTATTTTTTGACTTGAAAATATTCTAATTCAACATAAAATTATCCAGAGCTATGATTTCAGCAAGCTTGTAATCAAATTGTCCGTCTTGAGAAGAAGAACCCAATGATACCAAAATTGGTTCAATCAAAGTGCAAACAAGTTTGGATCAAGCCATCGAACCACATGTGAAGGGTTTGGGTAGTCGTTGGAGAGTCAAATGAACTCCAAATTTGACTTATCTATAGTCAAAATGAGTGCCTCAACAAGAGGAATTTAGCAAGCCTGATATTACTTGAATTTATGGTTATTAAGGCCCTAAAATCATCAAAATACTCCTATAATCAAGAAGAATCGATGTGGAACATTCGATTAGGTGTTTATTTGAGTTATTCGTCGAATGACTAAAAATGTCTCTCTCTTAAAGCCTATATATATATAACACGAGTCAAATTCATGTGCTCTTCTGGACTAAAGATCCGGTGATAACTTCCGACCTCCATAGTCACCTGCTACCGTCGACCACCACCCGTCTACGATCGTCAACTAATGTCAGCCACCCCCTGCTTGTCTCCATTAGAGAACTCTATTGTACAACAAAGTATCATAAATACAATGTAATAAAGTATCATGAATATGCCGTTACGAAAGATCTTGAATGTAATATTGCTAAGCATTATGAACACGATGTACCATATAACTCCACATTACATATCTGATTATAACTACTGGTGAAAACCACTTACAACCACCATATTCAAAAAATAATGAATTTCTCCGAACTCCTGAATATTTTTATATGGCATATACTTATAAGGGTTTTTTTTTTAAATTAAATAACAAAACTTTAGAGAAGGGTTCTAGCCACCAACCAGTGTAGCTCTAACAATGATCTATACGACCAATTGATGCTCTTGCAATGACCCACTACGTCATATGTGGTTGACTGATGTCATTAAAACCTTCCATTGTAGCTTTTATGGCCAACTGATGTTTTTGCACCGACCCACTATAGCTGATGTGGCATGTTTCTACTGTAGCTTCCAAGTATGTTCTGCGTGACTAATTGTTGTTATTACAGTCTTCTACAACAATTTATGTGGCTAACTAACACTCTTGAAGCTACCTATTATAACATATGTGACTAATTACTAATCTAGCTTCTCAATATGATTTATGTGGTTAAATGTTTTCATTACAACATTCCACTATAGCCTATGTGGTCAATTAACGTCTTGCGGCGATCTACTATGATCTATGTGACTAATTATTACTGCAGCTTCCCACTATTACCTATGTGCTCAACTGTTTTTACTGCAGCCTTCCACTGCCGCCTTTATGGCCAACAATTGCTCTTACAAATACCAACTACAATGTCATATTAGGCTAATTGATGATATTGCAGCTACCAATCATGATCAATGTGAACAATTATGACATATCTAGCTAACTGCTACCGCAACCTTTAGATATGGTCTATTTGATTAACTATGACTTATATAAGCAACTACAACATATGTGGTAAATTCCTAATGCAGCTTCCCATTATGTCCTTTATGGCCAACTGACGCACTTGTAACTACTAGGTACAACCAATGTGGCTAATTTCTTCAACAACTTCCTACTATGGCCTTTGTGGCCAATTGACGGTCTTGCACTTACCAACTACAACCTTTGTGGTCAATTACTTATGTAGTTCCCCACAATATTCTATATGGCTAACTGATGCTACTGCAGCTATTAACCATGACATATGTGATCAACTACAACTATGTAGCCAACTGCTATTACAGTTTCCAACTATTACTGATGCGTCCAACTGACATTATTACAGTTCAAACTATGACCTCTATGACCAATTGATCTTATTATAGCCATCGACTAGAGTATTTTTTGGTTAACTAATACATTTGTGGAAACCAAGTATGACATTTGCAGCCCACAATCATTATTATTGTCAAGAACAACATCAGTTGTAACCCTATTATGGCTATTAAAGTTGGATGGCTATTATACAAATGTAATTGTCGACATTTTAATTTTGTCTTCTTTAATTCAAGAGAATTGTGGACCAATGTACTTCATATAATGCAATACTTTGGCTGGAAAGAGCCCTATAGTTTTTTCCCTTTCTAGTGTTTTTTCACGTAAAAAATTTTGTTGGATCATCCTAATGCTTTTCTACTATTTGTTGTCTCAGATTTTGGTGGCTCATCTAGTATCTTGAATATAGTGTTATGAAGGATCACAAAAGTGGTGTTGCTAAGTTTCCTGAATTTAATATAGCTTATAACGCTGGATTACAGATCTGACAATAACTATTCGCCACAACCACTTATAACCATCATATTCAAAATGAAATAAATTTTTCCAGACTCTTAAAATTTTTTATATGTCGTATACCGATAAGTGCTTTATGTGGCATAAAATATTAAGACCTACAAAAAGGGTAGGTTGCAGCACCAACTAATAGCATTAACTACGGCTTATGTGGTCAAGTGGCATCATCACAACTTTCAATTAAGACCTCTGTGGTTAATTGATGCTATTGTAGTGGCCCACTAAGGCTTGTGTGGCTATTTAGTATTATAGCTTCCTAATAGAACCTAAGGGGCCCACTGCACCCTCTGTGACCAACTAACACTCTTGGAGTGACCCACTACAACCTATGAGACCATTTGATAATGTAGCTTCCCGCTATGACCTGCGTAACAAATTATTATCATTACAATCTTCTACTACAACATCTGTGGTCAACTTATGCTCTTACAGTGATCCACTACGGCCTATGTGGTCAGTTACCACTACAAGATTCCACTACGACCACTAGGCTAACAGTTTTCATAGCTTCCACGATGATCTATGTGATCAACTACCAGTATTACAACTTGTCACTACGAAATATATGGCCAACCAATACTCTTACAACCACCAACTTTGGTGGCACCTCACTTGAACTAATGTTATTGCTGCTACCAACGAAGGCTTACGTGCTCAACTATGACCTATCTAACTAATTATTATTCCAGCCTCAAATTGTGACCTTTTTAACCAACTATGGTCTATGTGGCTAGTTTTTGCTACAACTTCCCACTACAACTTTTATGGTCAACTAACACCCTGTAGCTATCAACTAAGGTCTATGTGGTCAGTTACCTCTGCAACTTCCCACCATGATCCTTGTGGCCAATCGACACTGTTTCAGCTACCAACTACAGCCCATTACAGCCTTGATGGTCAACTAATGCTACTACAACTACCAACCATGACCTATGTAACCAACTACGACTATGTGGCCAACTGCTACTACAATTTCTAACTATAGCCTCCACAATCAACTAACCTTATTGTAGTATCTAATTGCGGCGTTTGTGGCCAACAAAAAAATATTACAACCATCGATTACGGCCTTTATGGGTAATTATTGCTTTTGTAGATACCAACTACACCCTATGCGACCTACTATTTGTTATTATCTCTAAGAACTACATTTACTATAGCCCAGTTACAACTATTAAAGCTGGATGATTATTGCACATTTCTAATTATCAGCATTATAATTCCATCTTTTCTAATTCAGAAGATGTGCAAACCCATATACTTACATTCATATAATGGATTACTTTGACTAAGCAAACCACATCATTTTTTTTCCCTTTCTAGATCTTTCCACATACAAAACTTTAAAGGCTTCTTCTCTACTTTTATATTATATTTGTGTGTGTTGGATTTTCGTACAACACTTAGAAGTTAAATTATCACTCTTCCACCTCGAATCTTCCGGCATGCAACAAATATAAACTTTGATACTTATACAACACTCAAATCCTTATAAATTTAATATTGAATCTTTTAAAATAAAACATATTCTTCCATGTATAAATTTTGATGAGATTATAAGTAAATATCATAGTTTAGATATTATACGTAGAAATATATGAGAACTATGATATACATGTAAATCTGCCAAAAGTTTTATAAATTTACCACTTTTTAAAATTTAAATATTTTTAATAATGCAATTAAAAAATAAAATGAATTTAATAAATTTCATTAATTTTATCTAAAGTAGCAATTCATATAAAATTAACTATGAAGGCAATTAATTAATCTTGAAAAGTTTACTCAATTAACTCAATCATTGTGGCTTTTGGTATTAAAGTTATAGTTACTTTATATTAGCAAATTCCTTATTTTATCTAATTTTAAAATATATAATTATAATTATATATGATTGGAAAAAAAATTTAAATAGCATGGTTGCTGCAAGAATGATTAGGTAGGTTTTAATTTTAAAGGATTTACACGCATATCTTGTATTGCTTATTTATTTATATATTGAACACTTCAAATAATATATTTTTATTTATATTATATTGTTTTCATAAAAAACATATATATATATATATATAT